TTGTGTCAAATGGTGTATAGTTTTCCACATTTGTATAACACGTGTTTGAAGTGCACACGAGTCGCGCGTGTCGTCCGCCGGACCTCTCATTCAACACCAATTGATTGCCATTTAATAAATACTTTTCATTATTTGGCCTCAAATTCATGACATTTGCGGTCATTATTGCCGACAAACTTATCGGACGACTAGTCATGTGTTGAACACATTTCACACACAATTGATTCACTAATGATTGTCTTAATAATTGATTCATTGTTTTCCTAATTTACATAAATTGTTGATTAAATTCAACGCAAATATTGATCACAAAAATTGGTTTAAATTTCAAAAAATTTCAAATCAAAACAAAAGTGAACACATGTTTGCAGTCATTCATAAATAACGGCATGTATTGACATAACTGACATGTCGTGAGGTTTAGTCCCTTTTAATAGTAGCGTTAGTATTGGTTGTGCTGTAATTGAGTTGATATAAAGGGCACGAAATGTGTTGCCATTTATGACATGAAAAGGCTTTGAATTAATCGCTGATTCACTCCTTGAGTATTGGATTCATTGCTGTCTTTAAGATTGAGTTAACGTTTGATTTGATTATTAATTAATTGTAAATCACTTTGAATTGAATCGATGGACCGTTTGTTACGATTGGGCAGTGGTTTGGGAGGACTCGGACAGGTATGTGACCGGCAGTCACCCAATGGGACACAGTTTGTGTCAATGCATTGTCTGTTGGGCTGAGACTCAAGTGTTTTGTTTGTTGTCTTAGAGTTCAGTGCCGACGGACGGCCCGGTAGTGGACACCGCAGAACAGGTGTACATATCGTCGCTGGCATTGCTTAAGATGTTGAAACACGGAAGGGCTGGCGTTCCCATGGAAGTGATGGGTCTTATGTTAGGCGAGTTCGTCGACGACTACACCGTTCGGGTGATCGACGTCTTCGCGATGCCTCAGTCCGGAACCGTATGTCCGCTCCCTCTATATCGCCGGTCACTCTAACCACGTGTTTGTCTCATGTATAGGGCGTTAGTGTGGAAGCCGTGGATCCAGTATTTCAGGCGAAAATGTTGGATATGTTGAAACAGACGGGTCGGCCAGAGATGGTGGTCGGTTGGTATCACTCGCATCCGGGGTTCGGGTGTTGGCTCTCAGGCGTCGACATCAATACACAGCAGA